TTAGATATCATTGAGCATAAGCAGTGATACAAGGTATCTCGGGATGATCCGTAGAGTCTCGACTAGTTTCGGCTTACCGCCATCAACAGGATCGATGAATCATCTAGCGGGAAATTTGAAATCAATTATCAATAAACTGTTAAATTGTGTATTTTGATCAATCACGGGAGACAAAGTAAAAACAAGTTGTAATTTGGGTTAGTAACTAAATTGGTAACAATTGGTTAAAGGGGTCAGTAAATGAATTGTTAACAAATTGGTAATGGGTTAGCACACTTACGCTGCACTCACTATCACTGCACGTTACTCTACACAGACCTCAAACACAACTCTCACTCACTTGTTTTCTTGAAAAAAAATTTGTTGTTTTCTTGACTTAACCTCGTGAGTGGTGTGGTAATGTGATTACAAACAAATCTTCCCAAAACTGTAAATCCTTCTTAATAACAGTTCAAACTTCTTATAAACTACTTCTTCTAACTTCTTCTAACTTCTTAGAAACTAATTCTTCTATCACTTCCCCAGTAGTGATGTGAACGTGTTGTGATATTCCCTTACTCACAAACACTAGATCTTCTCTTTAGGTTATTCTGTGTGGTCCCCGTGACACACACACACACTGGAACTTGACTTGTCTGGCTTTCACTCTTACAGGAGCAGACACTCACTAGAACTAAAAACAACCCTCTAAATATAAGAAAGTATGTTAGAAAGTAGTAACCCCAAAACTACAAACCTAGGACTAAAGGAACTACTACAAAGAAACTGAAACTACTACATAGAAACCAAAATAAGCTAAACATTACACTACCTGCCCTTCAGGGTTAGCTCTCGTTCCGTTCACCTGAATCCTCTATATTTACATCCTTGTTGTATTTACATGCTAAGGGAATGAGTGTGTGTGAAACAACAAAACATAACCACTCAGACATGTCTATGAATATAATAACTTAAAGGTAAAATATGATACTCCCCCTATTTGAAAGTTTTGAAAAGACTAAAACTAGCGCTTCGTGCGCGCGTAAAAAATTAAAACGAAAATGACATAAAATTAGGTCTACTTCACACAAGAAGGTTCCTGCGCGCTACGACAAGTACTCAAAATCTTCTCTGAGAAAACATTTTCCAGCGGCCGCGACAAGCTAGTGCCCACGAAATCTCGCGTGCCTATTTACCACGAGTTATTATTTCGGGGTAAATAGCCTGCCAAACACGCCTCAAGTACCCGATCGTGGTACGACCCGTGGTACGACCCCGCTGGCGACCAAAGTGTCTCCGCCTTATAAACAACTTAGCTGCTCTATTTGAATTCTGTTCAGTATTCAATAGCAAGATTCAAAAAATAGCAAGATTCAAAAAACATTCCGAAAGTATAAAAGCAAAATTCAAAGGAAATGTCACTAGGAAAATGTACGAAGTAGGTAATGTAAATAAGGCAACTACTGCGAAATCATGGAGTGGGCCAAAACAACTACAAAACGTACAGAGTAAGACTGAACTGAGATAGGAAGTTAAAAGGAGGAAACATGTTCGCAAGCTAAAAGTACACTTTACTGCTAATAACCTAAGAGAGAGTGTGTGTAAGTGTAAAGGGTAAAAATAGCCAAACATCGGACCTAATTCCCGGTAACTTTGCCCCCTATTTAACCCAATAATCCTCGCTTTAAATTTCTCGATATAAATATCTTCAAACATGTTAAGTTCCTCTCTACTACATTGTTTAATAATACCCAAATTAAAATTGCTTAATTTCTCAGAAAGTTTGTCTTTGTGCATTTCAGATATGTGCATGGAAAGGGCCGATTTAGTGTAACAACTTGGTTTAAAAGCTGCCCTGTGGCTTTTGATTTGTGTGCTCAAAGTCAACCAGGTTTGGCCGAAATAGAAGCCACTATCGCACAGTTTACATTGGGCTACATAAATCACGTTTTCATTACTACAGTTAAGCCGCATGTCAATTCTGATAATCTGTTTGTTTACTGTCAAAGTACCATTTGCTGTTCCACTAGTTAGCTTGCATGTAAGACAGCGAGGTCTATTGCAAGCTTGTGATGTTATGTCTGCCGTATTGATGGAGTTGGGTGCTGAGTCAGCAGGTGTTGTCGCAAATCTCCGCCTCTTGAACATTTCATCTGCGATGTTGTTGTCCCTTCTGTGAGCTATTGTTATGGATACCTGCTTACCAATGATATGCTCAATAGTTTGTTTGTAATAAAGAGAAACATAACGATTATCTTTGGTTTCATCCTTATGTGGCAAAGTAGCGATTTATAATCTTAATTCCACTGAGAAGTTTAATTAGGTCTTAAAATAGGATAATGTTTTGATACATTTAAAAAAATTATGTATTAGATAAATAATTAATGTTTGTGGGGAAATATTTATTGTATATTTTTCCACATAGTACGATGACATTTTGTAGACATGTGTGATGATGTGATGTCATACATTTTACTTAACTTAACTTAACTTAACTTTATCTTTTATCGACTAGATATGTGTAATATATCACAATGGAAGCTGAGATGACTTACGATTAACCCAGCAGTGTGCCTTGTCGCACACGTTGAAAAGGGTAGTTAAACATAGTACTATACTTTATATAATTTTAACGTCAAAATTTACAAATAAAACTCTGAAATGGTAGCAACATGTTCGAATATCTCTAAAAAGGTAGAGGAACCAATTATAAAACACTATAAGGAAGGTAAAGGACAGGTTTGTTTCGGTTACAAGCACCATCATCATCAGCGGGGCACTCCACCACATTGAGACTCTTGCTGATACACAAGCTGACCTGCCAGAGAAGCTGTCTGTATATCCCCTTGTTATCTTTAGCAAACCTGGAGTTGTTAGTTAGATTAATTATCCCTATTATCAACCATTCTCATGTAATTTGCCCTAATTTATATTAATACCAGATATATTTCATACGATTTAATAGCTTTGTGAAGGACCAAGACTAGGAGAAATATCGATTTAAAGCATACCTGCACCAGTACCCAACCTTGCTTACACCAAAAGCAGTCTTGAGTGCTCTATCGAAATCAGACACACGGTATGCTTTAGCAGTTGAAGGGACTATTCCACCATTTCTTAGGGCACGATCCATATCATACTTCTGGTGAAGGTTGAGGGCTCCTTTAAAGTAGTCCGCTGGGGGTTGTTTTATTGGGTTAATAATTGGGCAAATAACCTTTAATACCTCATGTTGTGTATTCAATACTTTTGACATTTGGGTCATTGAGTCTCAAGGTTTAATTCTAATTGATGCATTTTCCTGAGTTACCCTAGTACAATGTCTAAAGATGTTGTAATTATTGTACACAGAACAAAACTTTGCAAAACCCACCAGCAGTTCTGAACTTGTCAGTACAACAAGTTCCGTGCTTGCAGTATTCGTGCCTCCAGAAACCATAGTTTTGTCTTGAGTAGGAGGTGGGCCACTCACGGTTCATCTCTCTTTCAAGGTGAGAGATTTCTGAGGATCGGAGCCTGTACAGGTGTAGAGTGAGGAGATTATTGAACTCAATAGAAATTTGATTGGATTGTCATTTCATCGTACAATTATTCAAGCAGGAAAAAATGCTTGGAAAATACTTACACACAGTGATTCTGGCAGTCTTCTGGCCAATCATATTCATTGTATGATGGCCACAGTCCGTGTATTGTCCATTCACTGACATATGAAGGCATGTTCCTACAAGACTTCTTGGCTTTGTAGCACATGTTTGGGGTCCATTGTCTCACCAAATTGAAGTAATTGTAAGATTCACCAACAGCCTGGGGTGCATTGTAAAATCAGTGTAATGTTTGGATTCTTGATAGTTGATTACATATTACTATACCGCCAATTCGATATTATATTATGTAAATTTAATATAAATAATAATAATATTAAATGCGAATATATATTCTAAATAACTGATTAATATAAATAACTGCTAAGTAAAACCCACCAAAAATCCAAAAAGGACAAGAAGAGAGAGCTTTCCTATCATAGTTGAAACAAAAAATGTACAACGCAACTAAAATGTGGCGAAAGAACAGACTTAAATACCCACTCTACGCAGTGAAGTATGAGGGTGGAAATCGCTATTTATTGAAACTAAGAGCACAGGTGCTGTGAAGAGTGAATCTAGTTCAAATTAGCACTGTTATAACTTCGTTATTGCCCATGGCTATTTATTTTTATCTTTAGAGGTGCTGCAGGGTCTTAAAACCTAGTTTATTCACATGGGGCTGGTGCCATAGGACAGAAGATCAAGAGGGTTGTAAATAAAGGAAACAGTGTTAAATTAATAAGAATATAATATAGGTGGAAAAGAGTGGAAATATACATGAGCCTTGAATTTAAAGTAAGTTGCGACTGGTAACAGGTGGGATGAAGATGGGAGTGAGGCTACTTTAAAGATAAACAATGGCTGTCAGTTTAGAACCCTCAGTTAAGGGAACCAGATGGTGGCAGGGACATTGTGATGAAGCCATTTGACAAATCTCTCAGAATCACAGGCAGCTGGAATCACGAACAGTCAACACTGGTCCTGGATCTATCATTCTTTTGACAAAGAGAAGTTTAGTTATTAAGTGTTAACTCATTTTACGGCAAATTGTTCAATATTTACTGGTTAGCAGCTGCATTTTCCTCCCTATTCCAGTGGACATGATCTTTTAAGCTCTGTACTAGGAGTCAGGACCCTCAGTATAATAAGAGCCTGGAATTGAGGTCACACAAAGTTAAAAGACCGTGAAAATGTGTACTTATTAAGGCAACTAATAATTTTTCAGTTTTACAGATTTACGACGTATCAGAATTTAGAATTACCTAATATAATAGTTTATGTTCAGGCTTTGGCGAATAAATTAGTTTAATATAAAAATAAGAAAGATTATGTTTATACCATCTAACTACAATTTCATTCTTTATAAATACTGTTGGTATCCTTTAGATTGCTACCTATCATCTTATAAACATTAAACATACTTTGTAGCCAACTAGGATGCCTATTTTTGGTGGATCTACATTCGAGAGATTACTCAGTAAGTAAAAGTGTTTTTACAACCTTTCAAAATTATTGTTATCAAACAGGATCGTAGACACAAAATTGATTAATAAATTAATACCTTAATGTGGTAATCTGTACCGATCCAAATTATACATTTTTGAAATACAAAGTGAGTTGTCAGTGTGTTGTTTTATCACTGATAAAGGTATTTTGCAGGTAAAGCAACAGATGAGCAGGTCACGGAGCCAGATTGGATGGGCATGCTGGCTATGTGCGACCTTGTTAGGCAGCAAGAGGTACGTAAACTTACATTCCACATTTCACTTGACATTTCACTTTACATTTCGCATTTCACTTCACATTTCACTTTACATTTCGCATTTCACTTTACGTTTCATATTTCACTTTACATTAAGCACCAAATTTCACATTTCACTCCGCATTTCGCTTTACGTTTCATATTTCACCTAACATTTCGCACCACATTTCACTTCACATTTCATATTTCACTTCATGTTACATTTCACTTTATGTTACATTTCACAGTCTTCTCACGCAACAACGAGTTCAAAGTGGCCTGGCTCAAGCAACAAAAAGGGGACTGTAAACAAAATTATTCTTTTCAAAATCTTTCTTTCTTTAGTAAATTGTATTAATATTAAATCTAGAAAGTAAAATCTAAGTTAATTAAATAAAAACAAGTCTAAGTATCGTGAAATTTCATTCTTGGTTAATATTATTATCATGGAGTGGGGCGAGAAATGGCGTTATGATATTAATATTACCTTGACAGTTACTCTTGAAGCTTTTAAAGATTTCAAATTTGTATTCCTTGTATTCCTTGAATTCCATTCCACTTCACTTTCATTTCACATCCAAATTTAACTTCAAAAATTCCAACTGTCATGTCAGCTCAGATCATGGAAATTACATGACTCCATTAAGTAATAAGTGAGCTGTATACTAACGAAGTATCTCTTATTCTAAAACTGATGTAATTACCATGGAAATAGACTTCATCTTCACTTCTACCATCACCCCCAGATCTCAACAAGCTCGGCCCTATCAGCAATACGCAAGCTCCTGTTTCACAGGAACTCCCAAGTTGTAATGAACTCTCTGCTAGTACTGGAATGCCTGGTTAAGAACTGTGGACAGCCAATGCACGAGCAAGTCACCCAGTATGAGTTTCTAGAGGAACTGAAAGAGCTTGTCAGGGTGAGTGTGTTTATTTTAATAAAGCATTTTATTCTTGCAATCTTGAATCTGATTTGGTGCAGTGGTGATTTGAGCAGTATGTACCATTGATTATAGACTACTTTGGAAGATAGATGAAAAATCAGCCCGAGCATAACCTTATGTACATTGCACAAGACCGCTTTGAAAAATGCTACCTCAAGTTTATCAAGTGATTCAGTGATTGGGTCCTTTTCCTTACATTCTAAAACATTATACATAGGTTATTAAGATTTAAGACGGGATTGGACGCTATTTCCTATTCTTTGAAGCCTGCAATCTTGCAATTGATATATATAATCTGTAATCGCATTGAGGCTAGAAAGTACCAATAATTCTTTTTCTTCGGTTTATGCTGGGCCTTTCATCAGTTCATGGTATAGTAATATCTCCTACCTCCAAATTCGAAAAGCATTGAAATTGTATTCATTTAATTCTATTATTTCTAAACTTAAGCTATCCTCAGGATCTCAAGTCTTGTGTATTCAATAAAGTAATGCCCACTCTTGTAAATTTCTTATAAATTTTCTTTCTCCAAGCATGAAATTACTGTCAAAATTTAAGTAAACACTAATACTAAGTCACTCTTGAATCGTCCAAGATACGCATTCAAAAGCAACAAGATGCACTATTTCAGACCGGTTATGCCACAGTGCGAACTAAAGTGCTGTCCCTGGTGGCTTCCTGGAATGAAGTCTTTAAAGGAGAATACCGTTACAACTCTGTGAAGGAGGCGTTTGATGCGCTGAAGGTAGAAGGTTTCCAGTTCCCTGAGTTGAACAACTCTGAAGATATCTTTGATGCTGCCAGGGTACGTTGAATTTGAACTTAATTTCTTAAAATGTAAAGGTTAATTTCAAATTTACCGCAAGATTTACTTTGCTTTGAATTTTCTTGTTTCAATTTATCAGAACCGATAAATGTTCTTAGCTATTTTTTGGGCATTTCCATTTGCATTTTCCCATCTTACAAGATTCCCGTTTACTTATTAAAACCCTGATTAATGTGAGTTCTCTCGATTGAAACTCAATTTTGAGGTGAGTCAATAAAAAAGAGGGACCTGCAACCAATTTTCTGAGACTAGAGGGTCGCACTGCAAAATTTAGGATTTTGTGTGTCCTTAAGTGCAAAAAAAAACGATTAGCTACGTTGATTTTGAAAGTGTCCTGCATGTGGTTAAAAAATATGCTGTTTAGCATTCAGCAGCATTATAGTCATGTATAATAGACCCCAAGTTTTAGAGCTGGTACCTACCGTGCTTATCTCAGTTCTAGTTGGATCATCTTCAGGACTATCTTCAGGAGAACCTAGGGTGAGGAAGGACAGATCAACTATTCACTGTTATAAAAGTTGTGACTGCATGGCATGCCGCATGGGTCTCTGGCGATGATTACAACTTTAAGGATCAACTTTAAGCGATCTAATTCAAATTATAATTTGTGTTCAAACCTGGTTGGTGGTTTTGTTACATTTTTCCCACTCTTTACTTCTGGGTAGTAAGGGGAAAAGTGGTCGATTTAAGGGTTCCGTTGGATTTGAATGTTCACAAGGATTTCTCAACGGAATATGGTAGTTAGGACCCCTACGAACATAATTAGACTTGTTGCCAATTTTGTATCTCAACGGAAACACCACTTTTACCACTTTTTACCACCTTTGTACCACTTTTCTGGTTTGCCAAATATCTTTAGTTGTGAACGTCGTAGAAGGCTGAAAATTAACCTAGAATGTTTATCTTATCAAGGAGTAAAACTTTTGTATCAAAAATTTTTACATTGGACAATCAGCTAATTGGATAATTACCAATTAGTTAATCACCAAAAAAAGTGAAAATTTTTTATTGGCTCAAAATGATTGAAATCGTTTGAAACACGGAGAAATGTAGTTTTTAGAAAAACTTCAAAAATTTTTCACTTAAAATTTTTTTTCGAGACTTGAAAAAAAAGTTTGAAAATTTGAAAATATTTTTTTCCGCCAAAAGTGATCGAATTGCATGAAACGTGGAAAAATGCCTTGCAGAAAAATTTCGAAGATTTTTAGATTGAGGAATACTAAAATCATCAATATTTGAAGTTGGAGTTCAGTAAATCTCGACATATTTTAGTAATTAGGAATAGCTTAGCGGAAAGGGCTGGACCTGAAAAAGGTTAACCACACAATATTAGAGTTTCGTAACTAATTACAATACAGCTTTATCAAATTCCACATAAAGAAACAGCACAAAAGGACCATTTAAGATCGAACCGATTTTACCTGCTGTACTATCATTTTATTGATTTCAATGATCAAAACCTCTGTCAATCTTGCCAATCTATACCGGGTATCTGAATGTACCGGACCTCTTATTTACCTCTATAATTAGACCCAGTTGTGCAAGAAATGCGATTTCTCACAGGGGTTTCTTTAAACTGTGCACTTTTTATCACTCTCGCAACTCGCAAGAGGCCTGATGGAAGCTGGGTGGTGCTAAAATGGAGGTAGCAGAACGTACTACATGATGAAAACAGGAAAACTAAGGCTGGTTGAGACCTAAAAAGATGTGAATCTGTCCTGATAGATCCAGTGAAGAGCGAGTAGCGAAGAGTTTGATCACTAACCTAAAGCTCTAAAGAAGAAGAGGGCTAAAGAGACTCACTTTGATCAATAAATCCGGTACGGCAAGGTCTGTAGCCTTGATAAGAAGATACCATGAAGTAATTCATGCAGAAAAGTCGATTTATATAAAGGGTTTCGTTGGATCTAAAAAGAGTGGGTCAGTCTCTCTGTTTTCATAAGATTCTGATGAAATGCTGTTAAGCTCAGGACGGTGATCTTAATAGGTCGGATAGCTGTATCTGGTTGCTTCCAGCCCACCCTTGTCGCTTGAAAATAAGTTCTCACCCCACCTCTTCCAAAAATACAGTTACCAGAGCAGGAAACTCTTCTTCCTCCTCTTCTTTCAACACAAACACAATCAGGTTCCAGCTACTCTCCTCCTCTGCAGCCACAATCTTATCTCCTTCTTCGGAGTTTTACTGTTGCAGACTGTATCACTTGCACTGTTCTTTTGCAGTACTCCTGCACTGTAGCTCTGTGTCCCTGACTACACCGTGGTTTACACTGCCCCTAAACTGCAATCTTAAGTAACTTTAGTTCCGGCACTCTTTGGCCATTAAAATAACCAACTCCAATGAAACCCCGTGTATCTACGTTCTGCTACATCCATGCTAGCACCACCCAGCTACCACCAGTTTACTCTAAATCTAGCTATTTCTAGCAACTTTTCAATGCTATCTCCAGCTCTATCCCGACCCTGGCAATGACATATGGGGGTTATTCGAGGTATATGGCATAGCAAACGAAGCGGCATGCGCATTCACAATACAAAAAAGCCACAATGGATGATAGAAGGTATATTTACACTCGCTTCCTATACCCCCCCCCCCCCCCCCCCCTATAATACCAGGCCTCTTGCGAGTTGCGAGAGTGACAAAAAGTGCACAGTTTAAAGAAACCCCTGTGAGAAATCGCATTTCTTGCACAACTGGGTCTAATTATAGAGGTAAATAAGAGGTCCGGTACATTCAGATACCCGGTATAGATTGGCAAGATTGACAGAGGTTTTGATCATTGAAATCAATAAAATGATAGTACAGCAGGTAAAATCGGTTCGATCTTAAATGGTCCTTTTGTGCTGTTTCTTTATGTGGAATTTGATAAAGCTGTATTTTAATTAGTTATGAAACTCTAATATTGTGTGGTTAACCTTTTTCAGGTCCAGCCCTTTCCGCTAAGCTATTCCTAATTACTAAAATATGTCGAGATTTACTGAACTCCAACTTCAAATATTGATGATTTTAGTATTCCTCAATCTAAAAATCTTCGAAATTTTTCTGCAAGGCATTTTTCCACGTTTCATGCAATTCGATCACTTTTGGCGGAAAAAAATATTTTCAAATTTTCAAACTTTTTTTTCAAGTCTCGAAAAAAAATTTTAAGTGAAAAATTTTTGAAGTTTTTCTAAAAACTACATTTCTCCGTGTTTCAAACGATTTCAATCATTTTAAGCCAATAAAAAATTTTCACTTTTTTTGGTGATTAACTAATTGGTAATTATCCAATTAGCTGATTGTCCGATGTAAAAACTTTTGATACAAAAGTTTTACTCCTTGATAAGATAAACATTCTAGGTTAATTTGCAGCCTTCTATGATGTTCACAACTAAAGATATTTGGCAAACCAGAAAGGTGGTACAAAGGTGGTAAAAAGTGGTAAAAGTGGTGTTTCCGTTGAGATACAAAATTGGCAACAAGTCTAATTATGTTCGTAGGGGTCCTAACTACCATATTCCGTTGAGAAATCCTTGTGAACATTCGAATCCAACGGAATGCCACTTTTCCCCTTACTAGGGCCCCCAGATTGAAATCTGTAACATTTTAAGAAAAACTGAAACTACTGACAAAAACTAGACCCTTTGACTGAGGGCACCCTTGAATCAGAATTTTTGTAACATATTCAGGTCCTGAGATATAGCAGTTAAGTTGGGGGCCCTGGATATTGAATTTTGTAACACATTTCTATGTTACACTTTTTCAATGAGTTTTTGGAGAAGCTTCTTAATAGTTTTTCAAGTTCAGACCAGTTTTTCTAGGTCACAAAGGGTTCCATCAACCATATTCTTGACCAAATTTTGTACTTGGGCCCAAAACATTGAATTCTGTAACATATTTATGTTTTCACTGCCAAGGTCATATCTGGAATATTCAATATATTCTTATATTGGTAACATGGTTTTTAGATTCTCATACAAAATTCTGAAGCAATCCTTATTCATACAATTTGATAAAATGGCTGCGGAACTTGAATTATGTAACATTAGAAAGTAAGTGTATAGAGTATGTACCCTAGTGTGAGGGGTGTTAGGCAAGCTATATTATAGTTTTTGAAGTTCAGACCAGTTTGCCTAGGTCATAAAGGGTTCCATCAACCATATCATTGACCATATTTTGTACTTGGGCCCAAAAAATTGAATTTTGTAACGTTTTAATGTTCCGGTCAAGCATTTTGTACACCAAAATTGTAAAATTTTGTATTGTTACAAATTTTAATATATAGGGCCCAATTTCTATTTTCTATACAATTTGATATATAAATTAAACGTTTTTAAATATTCAACCTTTAATCTAATTAGCTATATTCATTTGATTAAATTTACCGCGTTCTGTCGTAAATTTAAATTACATTACATTTAAATTGTTACAAAATTCAATAATTTGGTCCCAATTATCAATTTTTAAATTTGTTAAGTTGTTTCATGTCTTTATTTAAATGCATCAACCAACTTAAAACCAATACTAAATCAAACAACTCTGTATAACATACTCATTTGTAACCATGTTACGTTATTCAAAGAAATGGGCCTTTTATTGATTATGAACCATATACCAAGATTGTGGTAATGCCTTTATACAAGAATTGCTGCACTAATAACCTGGTTTTGGAGTTAAATACATATTCTACACTAGCTGTGGTTGTAACAAACTATAAAGATATCATGAAAACAAGATGTTACAAAATGTCCATTTTGGGCCTTTTTATGAACTCAAAAGTGGGCCTTTTTTTATTCCACAGCTAAGCAAATACCTAAAGTACATTTTTGTGAAGCAAGAATCTTTAGAATTTAATAATTGGCTGAGCCATTGAAAAGTGTAACCAAATGTTACATTTTTCAATATAACTGGGCCATTTTACAATATTATTCATAGCCGATGACCTGAGACTATTTTTTATGACAATTATAATCGTCTCTGAAAGTTTCAAGACCATCGAGTAATTATTAAT